GGGGCTGGAGAGATGGCTCAGCAGTTAAGAACACTGTTCTTGCAGAAGACCCAGGTTCAAATCCCAGACCCCATGTGGCAGCTAACAACTGTCTGTAACTCCAGTTCCAGGGGATCCAATAGCCTCTTCTGTCCTCCACGGGCATTGCACGACACAGGTGCACTTACCTACATGCAGGCAATATACACATACACATTAAATAAAAATTATAAAATATTAAAAAAAACAAAAACAAAAACAAAACCACTAGGCTGAACATGGTGGTGGCAGGCCTTTAATCCTAGCACCCAGGAGACAGAGGTAGGAAGGTCTACAGAGCTAGTTCCAGGTCAGCCAGGGCTACACAGTGAGAACCTATCTCAGGGAAAAAAAAGGAGAAATGATTCCACATTCTTTACATGGTATATATATAGCACAACAAAATATTTCAGCAAAAGTCAATATAATAGAGGGCCACACAGCCTTTCCTTACCTCCTCAAAGTCTTCACTGACCCACAGTGGGATAGGAGTACCCCAGTATCTATTTCTGGAAATTGCCCAGTCATGTGCGTCTTTCAGCCAATTTCCAAACCGCTTTTCTCGAACAAACTCTGGGACCCTGTCATAAACAGTCATATAAGAACATATATAGTTGAAAATTATAAATCGTATCCACATAAGCCTTTGTGTGACATTTTGTGGAAATGCTAAGCTCCCAACTAGGAGCAAGCATGCCCTCTAAATGGACAGCACATGTGGCAGCCTGAGCTGCCATCCATGACTATCACATGCTTTCTGTGTCCTGGTCGGCTGGGGTCACCTAAGACCTCTGACCATTCATCCCCTTTCCAACTCAACTGTAGTTTTGTATTATCCACAGAATAGTGGCTTCCTCATTAACACCGGCTCCCAATGGCTTGGGGGGTTGGCAGGCTGTTCCTCTGTGGTCATCCCTGGCCTCATGCCTTAGGCTTCAGCAATGAGGCAAGGTCCTTAGCACGCAGCCCCTCACCTAACAGCCTTTGCCATGCCTCCTTCTGCCAGGCAGCCCTTCTCTCTGTGATCCTTCCCATTCCCAACACTTCCACTGCTTCTGATTGGACAGCTGTTCTTACCTCTCAAGGATCGGCTTTGCAGGAATCCCTCCCAAGCATAGGTTAAGACATCCCTAGGCTCTCAAATTCCTCTTCTCTTGGGTCATTGGCATTGATGATAAAGATTAGTTTGGGTATCTCCAGGCTCCCTAGGCTATCTTACTATATTCTACACCCAGTACCTAGCACATCTGGGGAACTAGCAAGGGTCACTAGCTTTGAAAACAGAAAACTTTT